AGGAATGCCACATTTCAGAAAACCTTTTTTAGTAGATTTTTGTCAGAAAACAAAGATACGTGAAGCTTAATCCTTATGTTACACTTAAATGTTACTCTTAAAACATGTATAATTAACTGTAAGACAGATCTTTCAGTATACGTTTAAGATGATTCACAAAACTCTGATTTTAGTTATTGAAGATTCAAAAATGTACATAGACAAAAAAAGTAAAAAGTCACTGCAGACTTCTCTGAGTCTGCTTCAGACTCAAAACTTTAATCCTGTTTGTAATAATAAATTTGCTGTTGCTCCTGAGAATGGCTCAGTTGGAAGTGAGCCTATTTTCCTTTTCTTTGTTTTTTTATACTATGTGGATAAATATAGCTTCTGACAAGACTGATGGAAAATCATAGTATGATCAAACTTAGGTTTTTTTAAACTAAAAGTGAAAGCATTTTTTCTAAGCACAACATAGTACTATGTTTGCATTTTTTTCATCTATAATGCCAAGAATAACACACTGAAACATATTTCCATTTTTATCTTCTTTCTATACTTTCATTTCCACCTTAAACAGATATGGAAATACAAGTATCCCACTTCTTTTTGAACTTAAACTGTAGCAAAAATCCTTCATAGTGACCTCGTATGCTTCTAGTTTAATTACATCAGCATATCTGACTGTCACAAACTCCATGCATTTGAAAAATTATTCTATTTTAACATTGCACTGCTGAGGTTACAGTCAACCAAAAAGGTGTGAAAGGCTTTGTTCTGTTTTAATGGAATATATAAAACAAGTTTTTATTGAAACTGATATAAACAGAGGTGCACTTTGATTTTTTTTTTTTTTTTAATTTACTTCAAATGTGGCAGTAGTTTTCTCTCACTCTCATATTAGTTATGTTCTTTTGATGGTAGAAAATGCAATTACAAAACTTTCAATTTGATGTTCAACGTATCAAAGGCTGTCCGGGAGGTTGCAGAAACTGTTCATATTCTGGGCTGTTGCTTTAGAACATTATTTCTTCCTTCCATGAAATGATGGTACTGTTTGGACAGTTTTTTACTCTGTTTTTAGGCAGAAGGATCAGAGACCAAAAGACCATAAAAACAAAAGTAATTAAGATTCCTCTAAAATGTCACCCTTCACAGGAGGTTCTACACTGCCATTTGGAGTGGTGAGTCTACTGCAAAAGAATGAGTTGTAAAAGAACAAACTGAGAGAAAAGCAAATAAGCTGAGAGAATAATTACTTGGAAAGAAGTATAGTAGTAATCTATTAAAGTAAGCAAATATCTATATGCATAATTAAATTTAAAATAGATAAAAATGTTTGCTGTTACCTATTACCAATTAACTAACTATGCAAGTGCAAATAGTCATTTGCAAATTGATGGCATTTATACACCCCCACCCCCACCATCTATTTATTTATCTATATAAGGTATGTGCAGACCCTATATTGTCAATGCAGAGACTGTCTCCTCCAAAATGGTTGAAGGCTCCAGACACAAGGCATGTGATCAGCTGGAGGTTAAGAAATCTATTTGAGCACATCTCTGTGAGATGAATAAATGGATGTCTTTCTTTAATTCTGAATAAAAACATGAAGATTTTTGTCCAGTTTCCTCTAATCACATTTTTATAAATACCATTTAACCTTTTGAACTCCAATTAAAAATAAACCCTGATAAACCTTTAATTTATTATGGTGATCTGTAATTCAAAGAATCTTGCAGAATGTTCTCCCTGGTGTGATTAACAATATGATTATATTTAAACAAAATAATTCTGTTTGTATGATATCATTAATGAATGCCCTTTTGATGCTTTGCAATTAGAAAAGAACAAGACATCAATACAAAAAAGAAATGAAAGAAAAAAACCCATTACTGATAGGCTCTGATAAAGTATTAGGTCAAAACAGTTTCATTTCATTTGGGACTTTTTTGGAAAGAAGTTCAGTGTTCAAAATGATATAAATAGTTTTGCCATTATTTTTGATTGACACAAAGTGTGTTGAAATGTTGAAAGTTCAGAGAGGCACGTGCATTTAGATGGGTACTAAACGAAAGGTTAGTTGAGTGTCTGTAAGGTCACAGACAATCTTTGATGCTGAAATTCAAGATGATCTGCAAATAAAACAGATTCGCAAATAGGACAAAAACTTCATGTGATTAATCACATTTGGAGAAATATCCAGAGCAATTATGCGTAGAGAACTGTACAACCCATCCCACTATGTATGGTGTGTGTGTTACCTGGCTTTGCATCCCCCAAAACACATCACATCATCTCAATAGGCTATAAATTGCAACAAAAAGGAAAGATGTGGGATGTCTGCAGAAGTCCTCAGCACAGGTTATTTTGGCCTTACCTGGTAAAGTCTGTCATTTCCATCATAATCATGCACATCTGCTTTGCCAACACAATGATGTCATTACCACTGTCATCCCACTTGGCCACCTCTGCATCCAGTTTACTCTTTTCTTGGTGGAATATCTCTACTTGCTCAGCAATCTTAGCCTTCTCTTCCTGGGGAAGCTGAGCCATGATAGCCTGGAGAAAAAAAGGGAGAAGTTTGCCATGAAAAAAGAAGCTAGAAACAGTGGTCCAAATGGTATGCCCAGCTTCTAGTTTCTTTTTATGGGAGTTGAAGACGCCAAGCAAAATCCAGTAGACACTTGATTTCTGTTAGGACAAGCAAAAACAAATTCACAGGATGTTTATAGCTTTTCTTATACCTTCAGGAATTTAAAAATTATATATGTGATGCCATGATATATGATATGATATGATTATTGTCCAGTTGATAAAGGAAGATTAAAGAAAATTCCTGTTAAATCTTAACTTTTAGGAAGAACAAAATGAATGACATCTATGGGAAACGGCAGACTGAATTGCCAGTATCTCCCCGAGTCTCATTCTCTGTCAGAAATAGAGGTTTTCTGCTTAACCTGACACTAAAATCAGCTATGACATGGAAGATAATACATTTGAAGTGAATTGTAATGAACGTACCTTTCAATACTCTTTAGTGGTCTAATTGTCTCTTGGAAGATATGCAAAAAGGCACTACACAGGTCAATAGTAATCTGCCTCGATATTACCAACAAAGCAGAAAGTTCCCCGCCTTCCCCCCCCCAAAAAAAAGAAAAAAGAAACCCCTACAAAATCATAATAATTACTTTTGAAGATCAAATGGACACTTCCAATAATGGTTTCCAAGTTGAGCTACTATTTGGCTTTAGGGGGTTCTGAAGACCACATTATGCATTTAATGGGGTGTGACACATACTTAAGTGCCATTACATTTTTGTCTTGTTTATGTCACTTTCAATCAGCTGAAGTCTTTCTCTACATATTCTTAAAATGCTCTTGGCTTTTAAAAATTCATAATTGACCTTTTCCAAAACTGAAATTAAAAAAGGTTATAAACAGTAGATCAGAAAATGAGAAATTTGCAAGTTAATCAAATTAAAATTCAACACATGAGTTTTAATTAGACCTTATCAATGTAACTCAGCAGTTTCAAATGTTAGCATATTAGTCTTTCCACAGAAAAAATGCAGTGTAAGTCAAGCTAATAAATAAATATATAAAATACACATAAAACACTAGAACAGATGAATTAACTGAAATTAAGAGGATATGATAGGAGTAGTGAGATTTGGAAAGCCAATTTGTATGTCTTGCATGCAGTTTCTTTCTGCGGGCAGCTTCACCTGCACACCCTTTAAACTGGTATACAGTGTTTTAACATTTCTATTCCAGCTGCTGATGTGTTTTCGAAGAAGCTATATCCTATAGCAAATGCAGCTCATATATTAAAGTTTCATTTCTGTTGAAGACCAACGCAAGTCTTTCTACTGAAATACTAATAGCTTTATGGAGTAAGCATATTAAACTAATCTATTACATTCCACAAATACAAATCCAGCTTTTCTACAGAAAAGGTTCAAATAAGATACTATTCTGCTTAGCAGACTCATTTCAATGAGTCACTCAAGACTGTAGACAAGACGGCTTCTGCTTAGCATGATTTCATTTCAGATTTTGGTCGTTTGTTGTTTCTTGTGACATATTGCATTCTATGTTATTCAGGAATGGGACTGTCTTTATAATATATTATGTTTATACAGTGTGTAGCTGATCAAAACAGAAGGGTTTAAGTGCAGCAGTGATAACAACCGCAATAAATGTAATAGACTCCTAAGTCCCTAGGTGAACTAGATTCTTAGTAGAAATATTACTGCAGTCTTTACTTGGTTTTCAGATCAAGAAAGGATGATATGCTTTCCTACACGTAACCCAAAAAAATAAAAAAGGCTGTGAAATAACTGTATTGTATCTCAATACTTTTTGTACTTGAGACTTACTTTAGTAGTCAATTCTTTGAATATATCAACAGGACTTTATGTTCTTTAAAACATAAAAATCCCCCAAAGATAGTCAACTGCATCCAGAACATAGTTCTGCCATCATTCTCAGGGTAAGGTATCCAGGTATCATTCTGCAATTTTCCTGACTGCATGGTTTTCAATGCCAGTTCCTGGTCACCCTCCTCCCTGGCATGGGAGCTACCATCCAGCTGCTCTCCATCTAGGTGATAATGATATATATGGTACATCCTTGATATGCAAGGACAAAATTTTTTGTCCTTGGGATGTAGTGATAGAAACCCAGTTTTCTGATACATAGTATGGTTTATTTAACATCTGTATTCAATATTCAGGAAAATTAATTTAAGACAAAAAGAAACCTCTGCCCATTCCACTGTAGCTATGTCTCACATTCCTTCCATACCTCTAAGTAAGCTTCATTTAGGTTTGCATTACTCTGCTGGGTTTTTTTCAGGCTGTAAAATGTTTGTGTCAAGCCCTAACATACTGTGGGTCTTCCTACAGCAGCTGACAACTCTTTCCTGGTACTCTGAATGGGTCTTTCAAAGCATTGTTGCCTTTTGGTCTTCAGATTCCCAGCCCTACAAATTCTCTTCCAGAATTCAAGGTAAGAAGTCACTGTTCCAGTTGCCAGCTTTTGCTACAGTGTTTGAGTGTGTGTGGGAAGGATGCTTCTCTTTTAGTCCATTACTTCACTTTTAGCTCTTATGAGAAGAAATTGCAGACCTGGGCAAAAGAGCCATGAAAATCATTCAGGTAACTCCCAGTTCCCTACTGGTTCTCTGCTAGAAAATTTTAAGGCTTTTTTTTAAACTCTCTTTCCAGTCAAATATATTTTCATGATGTTGTTTGCCCCCAAAATTATATTCTGATTTTTTTTTTTCATAATCTGAACTGAGCAGCCTATTTAGTAAAAGTAAACATTCATCAGAGGGTGGCATAATCCTGAGTGTTAACAAACTTCACTTCTCCAGCACCTGTGACCCCTGAAGCACTCATCAGCTTAATTTGCAATCCCCATGCACAAGCTGAGGTCACAAATCACAATGACTTGAGTTTATCATGATGTAATTACCCTGGTAAAATTACATTGACTCAGTAACAAATGTCTTCAATTACAATTAAATTACAGGGACTACTCAGTAGCTTAAACAGATCTTCTTGACAGGTTTGCACACTGGAAACATGACTAATGTAAGATTTCTCTGGGTACAGCACATGGTGCCCTGATGGTTTGGTGGTTTTTTTTTTTTTTTTTTTTTAATTTTCTGACTACTCCTACGGTTTCAGCACATTCTAAACCTGCAAGGCCTTCTCCTACAGCACTAGCTGGGGCAAATGGCTGACACAAGGCATCACATAAGCCTAAAGAAGATCATTCAATAAAGTCAGTGCTTTTCAAATAGGTGAGACATGAAAAGACTTTAAACACCTAGGTCAACTTACTCCCATCCTTTCTTAAGTGACCCTGAAGATTTGAAATCACTGCATTTGCTTTCTGAGGCATAGCTTTTTATTTGTAGCTTTACAGATGTTTAATGTAGCATATGGGGTTTGTACTCACCCTTGCACTCTGGCCAGCAATAAGCTGGTCATCTTCAGTCTGAACACTTGTTCGGCTGCGAACATCATAATCTTCCTGCTCAAAGTCTGAATCATCCTCTAGCTCTTCAGGGGTCTGGAGAGAGAGACAAAGAGAGAAAGCAAAAGAGAGGAGATGACAAGCTTATAAAGGATACAGGCAAAGTATCAAGTATCAGTGTACAATAAGCTCTTATTTCATTGACTACCTGCCCAGGAAATGCTGTTTCTCTTTCCTTTTAAATTAACTTGTCTGCCCAAGCAGCCAAGAACTGAAATTGAATTGTCTTAAAAATTAAGTTGTTTCAACTGTAGTTTTCTTTATAAATGGCATTTATCATTACCTTGCTGCAAGTTTTCTTAACTCTGTTAAGATGATGAATGCAGTTCCAGGAACAAATGTCCTTTGGAAACACTAACAACTGGAATGGAGTATCTCAAAATAATGTTACTTCATGTATAAATGGACAGTAATACTGTTATGTAACTGGAATCGCCACGTAATCTTCAAAAGAGAAAGTAAATACCTGGGGAAAAGTAACTAACACCCTGGAATAAAAAGTTATCAAAGCAAATAAGAGATTTCCCCTTGAAAGAAAACATAAATGATTTCAACTGGTTTTGAAACAAATGTAAAGTTTAGAACCTGCTTTATCTTGTTGGTTCACATGATTCTTTTCAGATACAGAGCTCTGGAATTTGCCTCATCCCCTAAAATGAAACCATGTTATCTCCATTGCTGGTGCTACAAATGGTGTGAGGGTCTCTGGGCAGATTGATTAAACCTAGTTACGCATGTGCTGGCTTCAGGTTGTTTAAAATGTTGGAGGGAGAGAGAAAAAAGATAACTGATGGATCTGTTTGTTTGGTTTTTTCACCTTCTAGCAAAAACTTAGGAGCAAAACCCATTTCCTTATGTATATATGGAGAGACAGCCTACTTTAAATCATTATTTAGTACTATATTTAATATAGATGGTGTAAAACCAGAAACAATCTTTAGAAGGAAGATTATATTCCATTTTGTGCTTGAATAGCATCTAGTACAACCACCTGGCCACAAGTAAATTCTGTAGGTACAATACATTATAATGGTAATAGGAAAAGAAGATCACAGTAGCTGTGCAGAGAAACTCTCCCCTTACTGGATACCCATACGCCTCAGAGTTAACCTAGAGGGCCAACCATTACAGAAGAAATCATCCATGCTAGCATTTCATGCTTGGAGGCAACGTCAAGTTTGCTAGCAGAGGTGCTAATCATTGCCAGTTGTCATTACAGCTCTGTCTTGAAGACGCTCAGTCACTAGGAACTGGTCCAAACCCTCTAACATAATATAGAGAATTCTTTTGGCGATATTTATATTACAGCCTGGTTTCCAACATGAAGTGCACATCACTGTTTGTAATGGAAAATCAGCTGCTTTGCTAGCTACATGGTGAAGAGCACATGATGGAGAGAGTAAAACACAGCCATCGTCATTTGGCTTAAAGAGTACGAATTAAATACGTGCTTTGATGTTGAGCACTGGGAGGAAGAAATAACCAAGTATGACAATATGGTAATGAATGCAGGCTGCTTCTCTGAAGAGAGGCCTGTACAAATAGTGTATGTAACAGGATAGACAGGAGACGAAGTTTAGGTGAAAAAATTAATTTGGGTTTTCTCTTCTGCCACAGGAAAAAAAAAGTAAGATTTGTACCCATCACTATGATGTCCAGTGGTTTTGCCCCATCACTTTTAATCATTTTATTCTCTCTGCTCAGCTCTTTGAGGGCAGGATGGGACTTTAAAGTCTGCCATAAGCAAACCAGCTACTGAAAGAATCATACAACTCCCTGAGCAAAAGAGAGTATTTCCTATCACAGGGCTCAGCTTTTCATCTGCCTAGGCTTTACTGTGAAGAACGGTGACAGGCTGGAGAGTTTCAGCCCCTTAGTCATAAACCAGCTGGCTGTTCCCCATCCTCCAAGTCCATTCAACTATTATTATTAAAAATAATCCAGCCACCAAGCCAGGAAACATGACATTGCTACTCTCCCCTTCAATTGGTTTAGTGGTGGACTTGGTGATGTTAGGTTAATGGCTGGACTGGATGATCTTAAAGGTCTTTTCCAACCTCAACGATTTTGTGATTCTATGATTCTAACTAGCCAGTTGCACTGGTCATTGTAAACCCAGTACCCTTCTCCCCTTCGCAAGTATAGTCTTCTCAGTTTCTTCTGTCTCTGCTTTTATAAATAAGACTATAAAAGATAATGTGCAGCCCTTTCCCAGGCTTTCATAGTCAGAGCTGCAGTGAACTAAGGGCGTAATATTCAAGATATTACACCTTAACACTATAAGAAGTAAGGACATGAAGAGGCCTCTTAAAAAGCTAAAAGGTTCTGAAAACTCTGTGTTTCAGGGATTTATTTCTAAAGAAACATTCCAAAAAAATGTATTCCTGTTACTGCCTGACATTCATAATCTTAAAATTTGTGGTCTTTAAAAAATTGAAACTTAATGGGTATAGATGTTGAACTTGGGGAAAATGTAGTGCAAGCCAAAAGGACATTTTAACGCAACTGTTAATAATATACTACAAGCACAAAGAATCTCAGTATTTCCCCTCTGTACAAGTGAGATCTAATTCAAAACTAACTTTCAGCTTCACTCTTTTAAGGTTTTCAAGTGTGGTGAATTTAACACCCTCATTTTCTTCCCAAAATAGCTACATTTTTTCATTATGATGGAGAACAGTAGTTAAATGTTATCTGTATGCTGCCATTTCAAACATTGCATGCTTTTCACTCTTGCGCCATTGCTTTGTTTTATCTGATCTCTTGGAGAGGCAGTCCATATATAATAGTCTCTTATTTGTTCAGACACAAAGGTATAAAAAAGAAATATTACATTGAAGTACCTTGGCTTAAAGATTTTTACTCTTAGCAGGACCTTCTAAGCATACCATAACAACTCTAATTTTTGTGCACAACTAACAGGACCTTGGTATTTAAAACCTAGTTTCCAAGACAACAAAGTCTGGAACTTAATTTATGTGAGTTGGAAGACAGAAGGACTGAATCAGTCTTGAAGACACCTGAAGTTATGGTCACACAGACATAGGAAACACGGATTTGAGATTGGATGCAGCTTCCAAACAAAACTCTGACAACCACCAGTGGCAGGAGGAGCTAGAGTAATTTTCAAAACTAACAGATTTTATGAACTCATTGATTTCAGCAGAAAAATGGACCATTTTCATAATTGTTGGTCTGTCTGTTCTGTAGCACAGGCTGTAAGACTTCCCAGGAATAATTTTTTTCAAATACAGTATCTCTACTACACATACAGCATATTCTTCACTTCATTCATCTAATTCAGATTAATTCTCCCAGTGTAGAAGAATCTTTCACAATCCCAGATAAATCACCCAGTAAATACATACTTTATCTTTTAAGATGCATGCTTTATTCCTAAATAAATAATTTCAGCTTCCAGTCACTGGAATTTTTTTTTTTTTTTTTAAATCTCTCTCTGGCTGCTAGATCTCTGGCTGAAGATCTTGCTGTAAACAAAATATCTTCCACCAATATAATTTTGTTTTATCTTTTGTAATTGCAGTATAAAAATGTGAATTATGCATGTATAAGTTGTAAAATGGCGTATATATGCACTTATAAATGCTATTTGTTTAATATTTCACTAATCCAAATATACTTGACTAAGATAGAAACCCCACTATGCTACAGTGCTGTATGCACTTAAAAATTTTAAGATGCAATTATAAGAATTTCAGCATTGTAAACACCAAGTCAAGCTGACCTTGTAACAAGAAGAAAGACAGACTGAACAGATATTCCTCCAATTTTTACCACAGAATACCCTCGCACTTAAAAATTTTAAGATGCAATTATAAGAATTTCAGCATTGTAAACACCAAGTCAAGCTGACCTTGTAACAAGAAGACAGACTGAACAGATATTCCTCCAATTTTTACCACAAAATACCCTCTAATTCTAAAATCTAAGGAGAAAAAAAGCCTTTATAATAGGCTTTTCTATTCAACTCTACACTATTCTGTACATTTGTTTTTGTACAAAGGCAGTTGCAGCCTGAGTCACTCGGGTGCTGTGAGCAGCATCTGAGGCGCAAAGACAGAGAACCTCTCTCACAGCAGGTCTTCAGCTGTTTAATGATTTACAGTAAAATCTAACACTCTAAATTCAACCTGAGAAGCAACAGGCAGTCTATGTAGACAATGAACGCCACAGCACCCTTTGGAGATAGGCTATTTAAAAAGATGATGGGATTCTGTACCAAGTCTAGTTTTCCAGAGGATCTGAGAGGTAGCAGCACTTTGGATTTCACCACAGTGGCTACCCCACAGGTGATCAAGGCTAAGCCTACATTGCCAAGTGTGGAAGAGTAGAAGAGGAGTCATACAGTCGGTGCTAAGGACCCCACACTTGCACTACCCTCATTTCATTTTTATTTAGTCTGCTCCCATGGACTTGAAAGTCCCTTAATGATAGAAGTGCATTTAAGACACTCCTAGAGCACATCTTTCAGGATCATTGTCTTGGTTTTGGCTGGGATAGAGTTAATTTTCTTCCTAGCAGCAGGCACAGTGCTGTGGTTTGGATTTAGTAGAAGAATGTTGATAACACACTGATGGTTTAGTTGTTGCTCAGTACTGCTTATGCCAGTCAAGGACTTTGCAGCTTCCCATGCTCTGCCGGGGGCACAAGAAGCTGGGAGGGGGCACAGCCAGGACACTGCCCCAAACTGGCCCAAGGGCTATTCCATACCATACGGCGTCATGGGCAGTATAGAAACTGGGGATGGCTGGCCGGGGAGCAGCGATTGCTGCTCAGGAACTGGCTGGGTATCGGTCGGCGGGTGGCGAGCAATTGCATTGGGCATCACTTGCTTTGTATATTGTTATTATTATTACCATTATTGTTATTATTATCATTACTATTTTACTTTATTTGAATTATTAAACTGTTCTTATCTCAGCCCAGGAGTGTTTCTCACTCTTACTCCTCCAATTCTCCCCCCAATCCCACCGGGGCAGGGGGAGTGAGCGAGTGGCTGCGGGGGGCTGAGCTGCTGGCTGGGGCTAAACCACAACAATCATCCCAAAGAATCAAGTTTACGTGCTCTAACACTGCTCTATAACATGAACTAAAACACGGCAAGAGGGAACAACTGGAGATTGGCTCCAAAAGTGCACTCCCCAACCAAACAAATGTAGCACTGATGCTAACATAGACGCAACTAACGGCAAGGTTGCCAATAGCAAAGGCCACGTGTGAAAAGAGAAGGCTGACCTCAGGGATACATAAGAATGAGAAAAGGTGCCATTGTGATTCTTCCTAACTGCAAAGAAGGTTTCTGTCTAATGAATTTCATAAGCAGCTATGAATAAAACAAAGTGTAATTTGATCCTGATGCAGTAATATAAAAGATGTTGGAACTAAGTTATTATTTTCTATCTTATTTTTAGGTTCTATAATTATACTCTTAAATTTATTTATACTACTTCTTAAGTTGTGAAAGAGATTTTTTTTTCTTCTGTATAGATCATAATAATAGTCCCCAATGCAAAAATGAGTCTCCTTTCTCCTCCGAAAGGACAATAAAATCTCCTTTTCTCAAGGGAAAAGAGAAGAACAGAGATTATCCCCCTTTCCTTCAGCTTACTATAAGTAATAACAGCAACAAAAATTAATGTTAAAAGTGGCATTATTTCCTCCATGGAATGAGGGAATCATCTCAGATAAATTCAATCTTTCATGGTATGCACATGAACAATTACTGCCTGAAAATAATTGTTTGTGTCAGATGCTCTAAAAAGTTTTCAAGGTTTGTTTTTTTTTTTAATAATTCTGCAAGAAGTTTTAGAGCCTGAATTAATGGTGTGCATGAGATTTAATAGATTATTTAGATAAAAATATTCTAAAGACTGTCTTTTATAGCTTAATGTTCACCCTTTAATTATATATTCCATTTCAATATGAGATGTCCGGATGGGTATGCTAAAGAGTGTCTCAAACTGAAACTAATTTTGTTTTCTACAGAAAATGAGGTTCTGATTCAGCAAATGCTGGTCTATGTAAGTTTATATATGTGGATTTTCCCAGTTAACTTACAGGGATAATGAGTCCATTTATGTCCTTTAGCTCTCTGCCTGGGTAAGGAGCACTACATTTAGCTCCATAAAAAAAATAAATTTTCTGAATGCAAAAATACATCTTCCTAATCTGGGTAAACAGATTTCATTAACTCATATCATACAAGGAGCAGAAAGTAGTAGTGACACAATTGCAAAAGTAACCTGGGATGTTTCTAACGAGACTGCAAAGCCTGCTGATCAGCTTTCCAAGCTAGTGGTTAATATAACAGTAAGACAGCAATGAAATAAGTGAATGTGCCTCCAGAATTTCAAATGGTGCTTTGTGCTTAGCAGAAACATCTCACCCAGTATGGACAGTCTCATGGCAACCTCTCTGGGACAGCTCTGATGTACAGGGGGGTGCTGGAAGCCAGAACTCTGCGCAGGGGATGGGAAAGTGTGGGTCTATAGCAGATCTCACCTGATGTTTGTGTCTCATGAAGCAACTTAAAATTACTCATGAGAGACTGTAAAAGATTAAAATGTGCTTAGAAGCGGTCCTGTCCTGAGAGAAGTTTGGAAACTGCTGCTGCAGACTAAGGAACTGGATAATCAAAGGAAAAATGGAGATCCTTTACTATGCAGACCTTTCATTTCCACCCCAGTCCAGAAGAGTTGCAAATACCCCAATGCTGCAAACCCAGAAAACAGGGCGGGTTGGCCTCCATCATCATCATGACTAGAATTCAGGCTACATGAGATTAGCACTGGGTAGGGAATGGAATTTATGTTTTGCAGTTATAAAATTAAGCCTGTCAAAAGCTTTTTGTGTAAATGTTAATACATAGTGACAGATGACTAAAATGAAGCTATTTTGGAATGCTCCAACTGCCTGAAGTCTTACCTCAGTGCCATACTATACTCACAACCACAAGTCTATGTTACGTGTTTGCTCAAAGGGATGAGTTGTTGTTTTAGCACTGTTATTTGCTTCATAAGTTTTCTCTGTGATTTTCACCGCAGCTTTATTTGTACGTGGCTTTCACGGGGGCAGATTCAAGGTCATTTGGGTTTCAAATAAGTTTCAATTGCTGAAGAGGTGTCCAAACCAGATTTGGTTTGTTGTTTTTTGGGTTTTGGGTTTGTTTTTTTTTTCAATCTTTGACTGTAGGCTACACTGAAAAGCAAGACACACATTTACTCTAACAATAATTATGTTGTTCTGTGGTTTTTTGGGTTTTATTTGTTTGGGTTTTTAAAAGATGCCTAAGCAAATTGAATCAGCTGGTTAGTCAACGCTGAAATGACACATTCTTTACCTCAGTAAACATTCAAAACCATCCCTGCAGAGGCTTACTGGAGCAGTAAGATAATTTATTTATTAATTTAGTTTTTAACCAGACTTACCTCGTATCCTAGGCAGCACACATACATTAGGAAAAAAAAAACCCAATAAAACTTTTTACACAAACTTTGAAGATCTTAGCACATTAATGCTATTACTACAGAAACAGTAATGAAGTTTGCATCTAGTGGCAGTTGTGATCAAACCTTCTTCTAGGTGATTAACAAATTAATTGTGGTTCATCCCCTAAAATACCCTCATCTCTTTACTTACAAATTCTTTTTTTGCTGCACATACTTTTGTTTCATGCTTGTTTCAACATTACGCTTTTCTGGCTTATTATGAAACAAAGTTGATTCCAAGAAGCATTTATATTCCTCTCATCCAATGTGATACTTCCCTGTAAGTCCCAGCTTTTATTTCCCAGGTACCTTACATACCCTTATCATCAGAACAGCTTTCCTGATGTCACGAACTCCATCATAAACCAAGCGGGAGGCATCTATGAATTCATTCTCTTCAAATGGCTGTGGGACATTTGCACTCAACGCTTCAATGGCAACCTCAACTTGTTCAGCAAAACGTGGCATAACTAGATTAAGCAAAATGAAAGGCAGTAAGATTAGACACCTTCTTTTGCGAACATTTTCCCCCTGCCCTTGGGCATAAATACTTTCCAGTAGACATGGCACATACCGTTGTTACAATTTCAAGATGCAGGCAGGCTCATGGTGTGGGTTTGTACCGACTCTACACATGCAGAGCTCTGGCACATTTTCTGACAGCATGAAAATAGCCATCTTCATATTCTCTCCTCCAATTGCACAACGAAGAATGTAATACTTCCTTTAAAAAGTGTGATTTACTAACTTTTAAAAGACTGCAAGCTATCCGAGCTATCAGCAAAGTACATTTAAAACCTTTACAACTTGGAATGAACACAGTACATATTTATACCAAATGATCAAAGCAAAATGTAGCCATTATGCCTGCTAATTTAGATAACTAACTGCAGTGTAGCTCATATTGAATAATAGTAATTGTATAAGGGGCAAAACATGTTTAGAATGCAAAATCTAGCAAGTTACTTTTGTGAAGGCACATAAATGGACATTCTGTTTCTTCACTACCATCATGTATGTAACACAAAAAGTAGCCATAGATATTAGCTAATAGTATTATAAACTGTGGTATGAGCTTTTTGAATACATATCTTAAAGCAATTATTTACTTATGTAAATAGTTTAAAGGCATTCCTTGAAGTAACCAGAGGCTTTTCGTCAAAATTTTATACAGGATTCCTTTGAAGCTATAATCACTTTCTGCATATCACATACGCAGAAAGATAAATGTTCCCTAGATCAGTCCTCTAACAACTTGAACCCAAATCCTACAAACAGGAACATGAACATCAGGTCTCACTAATTATAATGCACCTATACTCCTGTACTTAGTTACAGTTAGGACTGGGCTCTCATATACTACTGGACCAATAGAATCAATGCTTCATTAGAAACCTAAATACAAGATCCTTTGGGATTAGTCCTTACAAATTTAAGGAACTTGGGTCAAGCTTAAGATTTATAGATAGCCATCTTTTCATTATATTCACATCATTTTTACTATTTGGCACCTTCTAGCATCTAAGTAACCAAATCATGTACCACTTGCTTTATTATTTTGGCACTATACTTGGAAGAAGAGGAAAAGATGATTCTTAACTTAGTTGCCTTTTTTGTTATATTATCATTAACATTTTTTTCCCTAGACCCTATTTTTAATCCACTTTTTGGTAGCCTGATCCCAACTGATGAATACAAAGGGGAATTTCCAGTGTCATTTTCATCAAGGGCAGTGATAATCTTTCCTAGGAAGTAAATTTTCACCATGGCAGGAAACCACATTTTCTTCTTGACTGAATGTACTCATTTTACTCATAATGAAAACTATGTTTTACTCATCTTTCTTACTATCTGATTTAAAGTAAAAACACAGAAAAACATGATTCAAGACTAGTTTACATTTTGAAGAACAGCTGGCAGCAACTATGAGCTCAACCTTTCTGTTTCTGACATTTAAGTACTACTCACTAGATGTTAAAGAGGAACCCTTTAAAGGGATATATCTATTCAAATCTTGTTTATTCTGCCTATATATATACAACATATATAGATGTATGTTTGTTCAGGTACACAGATGAAAGAGCAGAATTGTACCTTTCATGCAGATGATGTTCAATAAGTGCAATCAGTGCTTGGGGTATACTGGAGAAAACAGGAAAAAGTGACAGCAACTATAGACTTTACCTAAAGGTTAACAAAACATTGCTAGGTAGAGGGGAGACTTTTCAAGCAGAAAAGGAGTCTGAGAGCACTGATAGTTTTGGAAAGAGTATTAATAAATGCATATATCAAATTATCTTAATTAATGGAACACTTGAAAGTGTAGTAGGAGACTAATATGATTACATAAGGAAGTCTTTAGGCTGAAAATCAAAAAGCAATCATTAAAGATACAATGAAAACAAGTAAACATAAAGAATAAAAGAAAAAATATTTGGGGTCATAGGGATAAAACAAGTAGACATAGATAGAGATAAGTAGTAGACAAGATAGAGATGCAAAAATGGCAACAGAAAAGGAGGCAAAGAACCCTAACTTTTAGGGTCCTTAAATTTCTGCCTAGAATTTCCTAAATAGTCAGGTATTTAACATAATTAATAGTAAGCACAACAGACCTGAATTAGGAAAGGGCAGTTTGGAGAATGTCTACATAAACATAAAGAAATGTATCTACTAAATATGTCTTCAAGTTAACAGAGCATAATAAAATCTACCCCGCAGTTCTTAAGAAAATAATCAAAGCAATCCTTGAACCATCTTTGAGAACTCAAGAAAAACAATAACGGTGAAAGTTCCAGGGATTTAGAAAAAGCAGCAGCACATACCTATTTATATAAAGGTAGAGAAGAAAAGAAGGAAGAATTATAGGATATTCAGCCTAATTTCAGTACCCAGAAAGAAAATGAAACATGATGTAAAGCAATTAATGTTTAATTATCTTGTAAATAATGAGCAGATGTTGGAAGGGCAACAGATTTATCAAAATAGGTTGCATCAAGCTATTACAATATTTTCCTTGACAGGGCAGCTAACTAGAGGGTTGGGAGAAGCAGTAGACATGATACAGCTTGACTTTGGTAAGATTTTTGACATGGCCACACATGACATTTTTAGAAGCAAAACAAGGGAAATGTAAATTAAATTACTATAAGGTGGACATGGAACTCATGAGAAAAAGCACCTCAAGGAATAATTACCTGTGGTACATTGTTAAACCAGAAAGACAAGTCAAATGGATTTTTGCAATGTGTCTAACAATGTGATGCTATTGTAAAAAATGGCAAAGGTCAATCTAGAATTTTTACAATATATAAAAAAAAGACTTGAGAGAAGAGACTGTGAAGTTGCACAGCGAGGCCCTATTTGGAGTATGATGCTCATTTTTTAAGTACCCAACAGAGATTTTTGTAGTGAGTGTATAAGAAAGATGTAAATTTTTTTTTTTTTTAAAAAAAACATATTTTGCGGTTGTATCCAGACATATATTTCTGTTTTGATAATGTAATTTAGTCTAAATAACAAAAATTCTTCTATACTCTTTATCTAGAAGCTATTTCTGAATTGTGTTTAAAAGACGAAGGAACTTCCACCAACTCCTCAAGTAATTTGTTCATAGCTTGATAGAGTTCACTGCTCAGATTTTTTTCCCCAAAAAAGAAGATAAAGATGCTTGTTTTAGTTGACCATTGTAATTGATTTATCTTCTTGCAATACATATTGTAATTTATGTTTAACATTTAAACATTATATTTGGGCTACAATTATTGTTTTCTAATTTTTTTTTAGTTGACCTACGAATACGAAAGCACACAGAAAAAGCTGGCAGGGATCCATGCTGTGTTTGTTATGCTAGTCTGGTCAAGAGCAGACCCTCTGAAGTTGTAGTCTCAGGCACAGAGATCTACAAGGGAGATATAGAAGTGAAATATTTTAATAGATTATTTACTTGCTAAATCAGAACTCCTCCAGGTATCGTGGAAATTGTTGTTAAAGTATTTAATAGGCAGTTATAGGGTCTTTGTTCAGCACCAGATCCTGCAAAATGTGCTGCAACAAGAAACACTCCTCACCAGAAACAAACATTTAATTTCTGAGAGATATTTTAAACTCATATATTACTTTACTAAAACAATGTTACTGGACTTACAACCACCCTTCGCTTGAAAAGGATGTACAAGAGGACCAAATAGGTAGAGGTCAAAGCAGAGCTTAGTTGTCAAAGGATGACAGGCTCTTCCATATTCGCTCTGTATGGGATTTTTTCCCCTTCTACCTAAATTTTAAACTCCTTCAGCTCAGCCAATGAAGTCTTACACCAATAATCGCCTGGATTGAAGCTCCACGGGTCATTTTTCTCACTGTGCCACTGGAAAGACGCCAACAGTCATGACTCGATTCGTTCATTCAAGCAGCAGCCGTAGCATATTCGTAAGCATCAGGCCACGGGGAGGAGATAGAAAGATACGTTTTGTTCATTTTGGTGAACATGAAGTCCTCATTTTTGAGCACATGTATTACCACAGGGACTGCCCACTGGGTGTGAAAGCTTCTTTCAACAATTTTGACCTTGCAGACCTGGCTACAGTTTAGTCCTTAATTTACATTTTTACATGTGAACATTATCTACTGTTTCAAAAGGGAAATAGCTATTAAACTATATTATGTGTTGCTTTCTCACCAATTGCATTTTTACATCAGTGCTCATTTTTTATTAGACAAGCAAGAAAAAACATCTGAAACTAATAAGATGCTATTACTTATAGTTTTTCTAAGCATATGTTGTCACTAAAGTTTTTGGAAATTGTTAAGAACTATATTATTCTCCAGTTAAGGTTATTGGGCCATACTTGAGGAGCTCCATGACAATGATGTATGGGGAAACACCTAACTCAGTTGCACCCACAAGCCTCCATCCTTTCCTATCTATCATTTACTGTACAAAGAAGAATATTCTTACGCTGACAGTGAAATAGCTACAAGCAAAATTCAGACAAAGGCATAAAAGCTGTATCTGGAGTTGAAACTTATAAATGCATCAGATAGAGGATAATTCATTTATTATGTACGGAGAGACTGGCTATGAATTTCAGATTTGGAAGCAAATCAATACTTTGGGGGAAAAATTACATATTGGTTTCTCAGTTTGAGCTGTGGTCTTGAAAAAGTTATGCATACACTTGGACTGAAAAATGTGATCCATTAACATCTCTCAGTCTAACTGCACGAATTAATTAGGCACCTGCATAAATGTTGAGAGAATCAGGTCCCCAGTTAATAGCAACACTTCTAGTTTATTGACTTTTTCTTTCTAACAAATAAAGATTTTAAAGCCTTTCTGTAGATGAGTTTTCAATGGCACTGAAAGGAAGACCACTGCCAACAAAATCTAGGTTGAACGGCTGCTGGAGGAAAAACTGGGAAAAAACAAAGTTAAAATTACTTCCATTTCATCTATTGATTAAATTTTT